AAAATTCCAACTCTCAAGCTTTATTCTGAACAGAGTTATGAATTTTTGAAGAAAAATAGAAAAATTCGAACAAATCGAACTTACCAAATTCACGAAATCTAAAATCACGAAAAAATTCTTATACTCTACTGCATATAGTGAGTATAGTGAGTATTTTTTTTTCAGGAACATCCATCCATTACGGAAACAGTTATTTAATTTTATCACTAATTTGGTTTATAACTATGTAAAAGTTGCTGAACATCCATGGATGGTTACCACTTTTAGCTGATATATGTAATAGAGAGGTATTCTGCCTTCTATGTGCAATTTGTCCAATTTAAAATGTGTTCTCCTGAGTTATACAGCATTATTTGATTACAAGAGGCACCTATCAGTTCGAACTCGAAATCACTGGGCAAATCAGTGGAGACGTCAAAAGTAGCTAAACCAAGAGAACTTACCAACATCTACGTTCGATGCTCTATCCGTGGCCTATTAGTGGGCAATGGGCTCATACCAACTGGGTGGAGCTAGAAAATCGATATTATTACGTTTTGCGCTACAGGAAATCAACAAAAGCAATATTTTGAGTGTTGGTAAGTCTGAAAAACAATATTATTTATTTTTCAGCGTGGGTGGTCCTCAAAATCAGAAATTCTGCTTTTTGGGATTAAAAATGAATTTGATTGATTCTCATCGACGTGGATGGTCTTTGAAAATCAGGGTATTCCCTGGATGTCAGGGTAGTTCCGAGAATTATTCTATCGATTTTTTCGACGTGGGTGGTCCTTAAAATCAAAAATTCTCACTTTTGGAATTCCCAGATGTGAATTTTATTGATTTTTCAATGTGGGTGGTCCCTGAAAATCAGGGTAGCCCCTGAGAATCAGGGTATTCCGTAAATATCACGGTACTCCCTGAGAATCAATTCATCCATTTTTCGACGCGGGTGGTCCATAAAAATGAGAATTTGTTTTTAGAGGGTCCAAAAACCAAAAATTCTGCATTTTGCACCCTAAATATCGGGAGGTCCCTTGATATCAGGGTAGTCCCTGAGAATCGGAGAGGTCTCTGAATATCAGAATAGTCCCTGAGAATCAATTCTATCGATTCTTTCGACGTGGATGGTCCTCAAACTTCTGATTTTTGGGATTCCCAGAGATGAATTTTATTGATTTTTCCGAGGTGGATGGTCCCTGGAAATCAGGGTAGTCTCTGCGAATCAGGGTATCCCGTGGATATCAAAGTGTCCCTGAGAACCAGGGTATTACCTGAATATCACATCCCTAAGAATAAATTATATTTTTTTGACGTGGGTGGTCGCGAGAATTTTGGTTTTTAGAGGGTCCAAATTTAAAAATTCTGACTTTTAGGCTCCCTGAATATTAAGGTGGTCACTTAATATCAGGGTAGTCCCTGACAATTAAAGGTCCCTGAAAACCAGTTTAGTCCCTAAAATTCAATTATATTGATTTTTTCGACGAGGGTGGTCCCCGAAAATCAGAAATTCTTTTGTAGGCCCCCAGAAAATTAGCGTACTCATTGAAAATCATTTTCTGCCTTCGACGTGAGTGGTCTCCGTAAATCAGAGTCTAATTTTTTGGGTCCAAAAATCAGAAATTCTGATTTTGGACCACCCAAGACGAGAAAAATCGATGAAAGTGTTTTCAGGGACTACCCTGATTTTCAGGAATTACCCTGATTTTCAAAGACTACCCTGAATTTCAGGGACATCCACGTCAAGAGACACGCCTGACGACGCTTATGGCTCGCATGCGAATCACAGAAACTGTCATTGGAGGTCAGCCAACATTGAGAATTTGACGGAAGGATTTGCTGGAGTTTCTTAGCGTAGGCCTTTACACGACGCGTGATCCTAATGAACACCCGCACCAAACCGTAGCTGCCTTAAAGGCGGCTACGTGAACCTGTTGAAAATACACGTGGCGGCTGCCAATGCAGCGCCCAAGGCTCTGGTGGAAACGAGTAATCTTAACCACACAGAAGCCTCCATCCTCATCCAATCGTAAATGGAGTCCTCGGAACGGTGAAGCGGAAACAAAACCATAAGAACTTTTTTGGTGTTGGCGGGATGAACCAAAGTTGTGGCTTGGTCCCCACCATTGAGGTCATAAGAAAAGCGATGGGCAACCAAATCACCGAGACCCCTATCCTGGATGTTAACGGAGGAAATCGCGAGATTTCCAGTGAAGTCGCGGCTAGACAAACCTTAAGCAAGGCAAATCTCAAGCAAATATTCCTGAGGTTCAAAACATACTTGAAAGGAGCTAAGATGTTCCGCGATAGAATGCCTCTAAGGAGACCAAAACGTGAAATTTCCAAGGTTCCCCTTCAGAATGGCAATGACCTTATTAGAATGCCGGAACAGTTCTCGCAGGGACAACGCTACCTTTCCTGGCTGCGTGTCAAGGTGAACGCAGTAGCGCGTGCAATTGCTTCCCTGGGACAACACCGTAACGATGGCTTTACTCTAAGCAAACTCTTGGAATTTCGTGGAGCTCGTCTAAGTTCCATAGAGAACAAAGTTCGAAGAGACAAAAGGTACGGAAGCGGGGAGAGCGAGCGACCTAGTCGAAAGTACTTTGAACTAGCCGAAGTACAGGGCCTGGCGGTGTAGAACCGCATCGTTATTTAAGAAAACTTAAGGACCAACTTATACTACGCAGAATAACATCAAAAGTCTCAAGGCAACGAAGCGTCAACTTGGTGTCAGTCGCCAAGGAGCTTTATATTTGGCCAGAGAGCGTCTAGATCGAGATACAACAAAGGTTCCAGTAACGAGCATTTGCAAGTTTTGGAAACCTATTGTGGCGACAGGTAAGCCTTTCTTCATAAGCGTTAAGCTCTAGGGTTTAGTCGGCTATCTAGGGTCCTCGAATACTTCAGGAAAAGCTCCGGAACCGACTGAGGCGGAATGGAAAGAAATCTTTCGCAAAGCGAAAGTCTTTCTGCCGCAACATCCAATTTAATTCACTTATGCCTTCAAGCCGTGGTGAAAAGGAAGAAGATGATATAAGGCTGGCTTGGCCAGAGCAGAATCGTGTTAATCCGAAAGTTGAAAAAGAACCAAGCTCGCGGGCGTGGAGACTTTCGGCCCATAGCATGTTTGAACACTGTTATGAGATATTGACGGCGAACATGTCGCCTCCGGGCTGTAGGTGAGAGGTTCCCTTGGAAGCAAATAACCTTACGAAAAGGAGTTTGGGGTTGTACTCACGCTCATATTTTGGACCACTGTTATAACGCACTATGGCATTAGAAGGAGTTGCATATGCTCTGAAATCTGACGAAGGCATTTGACTCTCATTTGTCGCATCCCGCAGTTTCGTGGGCTTGTAAGTGGGGAGTGCCTTGCGAAGGTCTCTCGTGATTATGTTTCGACAGAGTGTTCGATAGGGCTATGAGAATGGCAAAGTGAAAAACTCTGAGCTGCAGATCAGAAATGTCTAATGCAA